ACTTTTTAAAATAGCTGTTTGATTTTTTCCTCTAACAACGTGGCTTTCTTCCCTTACTTTTCTTTAACTTTCTATTGACTCACCATTTGTTATCGTTTGAGTTTCTGCGTATTTAAGAGGGGGAATAGCTCACAGAAAGAACATAGAACAAAGAGTAGAAAAGGTAGCAGTGAGGGCCATTTACAATTTTTATTAGGAAAGACACCTTTTCCTCTTGAAGATCGGCGGCAAACAGAATCTCCAACATGACTCCAGCATATTCGGTGACAACAGACCGACGATGGCGAACCCGCGAACTGCAGTGACACACAACCCCAACGAACGCTCGAACAGTAGCAACAGATGATGATGGAATCCCAAGGTGCAGATATTGTCTCGAAGATCGGCAAGCACACATGACCAATCCACGTGAAGCTTCGGTGACCTCCACAACCAAGCATAACTTCGTCGAAGCAAGATTCTGACAAACCTAGATTGACGCCAACTTCACGTTCTACTGGCATACGGTACACCCGAATACGCAAGATATTACATATCGTCTTTTTTAAAAAAAAAAGTTTGGTTAAAGTTCGAAGTATCCTAGGTAGGATATTTCCCTTTTTTAAAAAAAAGTTTAAAAAAAAGTTTTGTTTTAAATAAACAAAACCTTTGAAAATAAGTAACAAAACCTTTTAAAATACGTTTTAAATATATTTTTGAAAAGAAAATAAAAAATTTTGTTAAATAAAATTTCTTTTTAAAACAAAAACATTTTTTTTATTGGTAAATCAAGGTGAGATTTAAAATAAACGATTTGTTTAAAGTTTTAAACATTTTTTTTAATTCAAATAAAATAAAAAGTTGTTTTTTAAAATAAAGGATTTTGTTTAAAAAATAAAATTTTTCTAAATAAATATTTTAAAACAAATAGTAAAAGATTTTTTAAAATAAATTTTGTTTTAAATCGCAAGGCGGTAAAAAGGTTGAATTTTAAAATAAAAGTTTTTTTAGTTTCCTTTTAAGTTTCTTTTAGAAAATGATAAAATATTTTCTTTTAATATTAAATAAATATCCTTAAAAGTAGTAAAGTTAAGTTTTTTTTTTAAGAAAAAAATCTTTTTTAAGAAAAATCTTAAAACTAAAGTTTTTTTTAAAAAAAAAGTAAATAGAAGGGTTTAAAATAAAATAACACTTTATTTGAAATAAAGAAAATTATTTTTTAAAAATAAATTTTGTTTTTAGATAAAATGAAATTTTAAATTACAAAAAGATTTCTTTTAAATAAAATCTTTAAACTAAAGTTTTAAAATAAAAGATATTTTTTTTAAAAAAATAAATTTAAGTTTACACCTGTTGACATGTTGGCAAGGCAAGGGACTTATGTGTTAACGTCCATAACCTAAGATCAGGCCCTTGTGTGCCTTGAAATAAAAATTATTTTTTATTTATTTATTTTTTTTACTAAATAATTATTTCAAAAACTCCAAGGACGAAAATTAGAATCTTTCAATATTATCAAGGTGATAAAAATTTCTAATGGCCTTCGTGTCACTAATAGTTATTAGTTCATATTTTATAAAAAAAAGTATGAATTAATAAAATATAAGACATTTAAATAAAAGCACAAAAATATTTTATTTTGTACCAAATAATATAACAAGATCATTTCTGACAAAATTTGGTAACCGTTTCCAAACGGGTGTTGTAGGCTGCTACTACCTTCCCTACACTCAATCGACTCCTAAACCAAAAATTTATTTTCTTGCAGACTATTTTTTTTAAAGGTGACCAATCACACCTCGTGGATGGTTGGTGGAGACTCCAAACCCTTATCCTGAAAGAGACCATCAGAGGATGACGTCAGCCACTCAGTGTCGCGATGACGTTGCGACAATAATGTTTCTCAAATTTACAAATATACAACAAATATAAAGTATCAATGAATGTATAGATGATACCTGGATTTTTTTCGCAATCAACTTTGTATGGGTGACCCCATAGTTGATTCTAAGACCTTCTCACTTTCTCTCTATACTTTGTAATAACTAATACTAATCCCACTATTCTTCACTTCCTCTCTATACTTTGTAATAACTAATACTAATCCCACTATTCTTCTAAGTGTAGTTAATAATGTGAGTATCTATAGTCGTACTTTCATATATGGAGTCAATGTGATTATATTTATAGTCCTGGTCTGCACTGATTTCGTACTTCCATCTATGTGGAGTCAATATGAATATCTATAGTCGTGGTCTGTACTAATATCGTGTATGGGGTCAATTTGAGTATCTATAGTCATTGTTTGTACTGACATTGTGTATGAGGTCAATATCAATATCTATCGTCGTTTGCGTTGGTGTCACACTTCCATTTATGGAGTCAATATGAGTATCCACAATGGACTACACTTGTGTTGCACTTCTATTTTAAGGGTCAATGTCAGTATCTACATAGGTTTACACTAGTGTCACACTCCTATCCCTCCAGCCAATATTCGTGTCTATTGAAGTAATATTGAAAACGATGCTCAACTCATTCGATAGAATCGTTAAAACCCATATCACATTCATATATTCAAATAGCCTAATAATAATAGACTTGTTTACACCATTCATGAACAACGATAGGCGTGAAACTTTATTTTCGTCAATTAAAGAATGAGAGATAGACCACTTTGAGCAATATTGTCAATCCAATCAAATGATAGTTGCAAAGGAGAAAACTTGGAAGAATGGCAGGTCGATGATCTTCAGGGGAGAGCTTGAGAGATATTTTATAAAAAACGATTATATGACATAATCTATAAAAGAGTCTAGTTGGTAGAAATATATTTATAAATCTAGTCAATCTGTTAAATGTTGAAAAAGAGAGTTGGTTCAAATCCGTTAAACTGTATTGTGTTACGTGGTTCCAAACCAGACACCACACAAAGATTATGGTTAAGAGCAAAGTTGAAAAATCATATATTTATTAAAACTCCTAAAAATTGGTTTGGTAATTTGTGTAATATGAGATATTAAAATGAGTCTCCAAATTTAGCCACCTCCTTAAATAATTCTTTATTTATTTCAAAAGGTTGAAAGCTATTTTGTGAAGTTTTTACTTCTCCAAAAAGTCTGTTGTGATTTTTGGGGCCTTTTTAAAATACACCAACTTCTCGTCCTCTCAATCGCTAGTAGCAGTCGAACAGGAAAAATCAGAGGGCTTCGTGGAGGTTTTTGTTTTTCCTGTGTCTAGAACAACGATCTAGAAGGTTTACAAAAGTTAAAAGTTAAAAAGTATTTGATTCAATGGATGATTCTATAAATTAGGGAAACATACGTTTTTGGTCCTAACGTTTGGGGTAGGTGTCAATTTGGTACATGTAGTTTCAAAATGAACACTTTTGATCCCTGAGATTTGGAGCGTATGTCAATTTGGTCTTAAGTGGTCCTTTGGTAACGTTCCTTTCTAAGAAATTTAAGTATTTTATACCTAACTATGTTTCTTGTTTCTCATTTTTTAGAACACATTCTCAAAATTATATAAAAATTTTGGAAATAACCCAAACAAGTTTCTTGTTTGTTGTTCCCATTTTCAATTTGTTCCAAAACATAAATAAAGAGATTGTTTTATTATACTTGAGTTCTTGGACGTTGGAGCAATGCAATTCATTTTTCTTCATTAAAAGTGAAGAAACAGGAACCTTACCGAACGAGCTATAAGTTTCAAAATAAACACTTTTGGTCGTCCCTAAAGTTTGAAATTTTGTTCTAAATGGTCCCTAAGTATTCTTTGATCGTTAGTTGACTTAACGGAAAAATGACGTGGCAATTAACACGGGACTGGACATTTATAAATAGCTTTTATTTTAATGATTTGTAAAAAAATATAAATTTTTACATAATTTTGTGGTGTGAGGTGGCATTTTTTCATTTATTTTCTTGTCTCTTCATCCTCTTGCTACCATCATACTGTCAATCGCCATTGTCGTCGCCATCGTCATCCACTATCGTTGCCGCCCATCGCGGTGCCGCCGTCTGTTGTCGCCACTGTTGCTGCCCACAGGAGAGAGGGAAAGCTCCTCCCTCTCTCCCACGTTGCCATCATCGTCTACTACCGTTGCTGCCCATAGTCGTGCTGCTGTCTGTCGTTGCCATGTTGCTGCCCACAAGAGAGAGGGAGAGATCTTCCCTCTGTTTAGCGATGTCGCCGAAGAGCTCTCCCTCTCTCTTTCGTTACAGATCTGTGACAGGGAGATAGGAAGAGCTCTTCCCTCTCTTTGGTAGATGGCGACGGCGGGTGACGATGGTCGAGGGCGATGACAGGCAACAGAACTGGTCGTGGATGGCAGCAAGAAAATGAAGACATAAATGAAGAGATGAGGAATAAAAAATAACAAAATTGTTTAAAAATTAATATTTTTTTACCTCTCATTAAAAAGGTTGAATCATTTGTTAATTGCCACGTCATATTTCAGTTAAGTCAACTAACGGTCAAAGAATCCTTAGGGACCGTTTAGAACAAATTTTCAAACTTTAGAGACCTAAAATGTTTATTTTGAAACTTAAGGACCAAGTTGACACTTATTTCGAATCTCAAGAATAAAAATTGTTCATTTTAAAACTTCAAAGACCAAATTGTCACTACCCAAACCGCAGGTCCCTCTAAATTATCTTTCTTGACAGGGATTAGATAAATTATGATAAATTATAAAATTATAGTCCCAGATGGATAGTTGCAATGGTTGAAAAAAAATACAAAATTATGGGATCACAATTCTTTGGAAAGCATCTCAGTGCATTGATTTCAAATTGTATTTAAAATTGAGAGCAGTTGGTTGCCAGCTGTTGGAAAAAAAAGAAAAGTTATGGGATCATAATTGTTGGGAGAGAATCTCAATAATGCATTGATTTCAAAACTGTATTTAAAATTGAAAACACAGTTGGTTGCGAGCTGTACGTTGATGGGTTTGCAAAGACTTTTTGATTTATAAACCCAATGGATTTTGGATTTTGGATCTACTTCCCCAAATCTTCTCACGCTGCAATTTTGTGCAACAAGTAAGATCAGAGTGATGGCTGAGTTTCTATTGACTTTTGCTGCAGAAGAAGTGTTGAAGAAAGTGGTGAAAGTTGCTGCTGAGCAAATTGGGCTCGCATGGGGGTTGGAGAAGGATCTTGAGGAGCTGAGAGAATGGCTACTCAAGACTGAAGCTTTCTTACGTGATATCAACAAAAGAAAATTGCATAGTGATTCAGTGAGGCTGTGGGTCGACAAACTTCAAGATCTTGTTCATGAAGCTGAGGATCTATTAGACGAGCTTGTTTATGAAGATCTTCGACGAAAGGTTCAAACAGCAAAAATGAAGAAGGTACGTAACTTTCTGTCCCCTTCTAATAATGCTTTTGTCTTTCGCGTCAAGATGGCAAATAGAATGAAGAACATTTCGGACTTGTTATGCAAACATTATCATGAGGCAGGTTCTTTGGGACTTGTTGCCAGTGAATCTGCAGAAACAGAGATTGATATTAGCCAACTTCGAGAGACAGTCTCCGAGTTGGATGATTTTGATGTGGTGGGTAGGGATGTTGAAGTTTCAAGCATAGTGAATCAAGTGATGGATGCTACAAATAGACATGTTACATCCATCTTACCCATTGTTGGTATGGGTGGATTGGGAAAAACGACGTTGGCAAAGTTGGTCTTCCACCATGAGAGGATAAGAAAACATTTTGATAAAACTATATGGGTGTGCGTGTCTGAACCTTTTCTTGTCAATAAGATTTTGGGAGCAATCTTAGAAACTCTAAGAGGTACTTCTGATCGCTTGGATAATAAGGAGGTCTTACTCTGTGAACTTAAAAAAGAGATGCATGGAAAAAGATATTTTCTTGTGCTTGACGATGTTTGGAATGAAAATCCTTCTTTGTGGGATGAGTTGAAGAATTGTTTGACGAGGATCACTGAAGAATCAGAAAATAGTATCCTCGTGACTACAAGGAGTATTGAAGTTGCGAAAATTATGGAAACACTTCCTAGTTATCATTTAAGTAAACTCTCTGACGATCAATGTTGGTACTTATTTCAAGAAAGTGCAAATGCAAATGGACTACCAATGACTTCAAGTTTGAAAGTTTTTCAAGAAGGTTTGGTTAAAAAAATTGGTGGCGTACCATTGGTTGCAAAAGTTTTAGGAAGGACAGTAAAATTTCAAGGAAACTTTGATATATGGGTGACGATATTGGAAAGTGAAATAAGTACTCTATTTCAAGAGGAAAATTTTGCTTTATCCATATTGAAATTAAGTGTTGATCGCCTACCATCATTTTCTTTAAAGCAATGTTTTGCCTATTGTTCAAATTTTCCCAAAGATTTTGTGTTTAGAAAAGACCAACTAATTCAAATGTGGATGGCACAAGGATTTATTCATCTACAAGAAGGAAGAAGCAACAAGACAATAGAAGATGAAGGAGATAGATACTTCAAGATCTTGTTGTCTCGTTGCTTATTTCAAGATGTTGTTAAAGATGACAGAGGGAGAATTATAGAGTGTAAGATGCATGATCTTATACATGATATTGCATGTGATGTTTCAAATGAAAACAAATTGCAATTAGATTATTCAAGCAATTCCTTAGATGGGGAACTTTGGACGAAGGAGAATCAAAAACTTGCTAGAAAGTTACGCACCATCATTTATTACAAAGAGATGATACCTCACATAATAGAGAGGGCGATTCATGATAAGATGATGAACTTTTTCTGTTTGCGTGTTTTGATAATGAATTCAAATTCTATTAAAGAACTACCAAACTCAATTCATAAGTTGAAACACTTGAGATATCTCGACATTTCAGGTTGTGTTATAAAAAAGCTTTCAGAATCTATTGTTTTGCTTTATAATTTGCAAACACTAAGGGCGGAAGACACAAATGTACTTCTTCCGAAGAATTTAAGAGAATTGATTAGTTTGAGACATTTGGAATTTTCTTACACTTATGTTGTCGAGCAAATGCCTCCATATTTGAGCCAATTGATTCAACTCCAAACATTGTCTTGTTTTCTAGTAGGCTTTGGAAAGGGTTGTAAAATTACATAACTTGGACCTCTGAAAAATCTGAAAGGTAGTTTGAAGATTTTTCATCTAGAGCGAGTTGGAAGTAAGGAGGAAGCCAAGTCTTCAAAATTGGTGGAAAAGGAGAACTTAGATGAGCTAACCTTGTCTTGGAGCTGGCCTGGCGAAAGAAATAATGAGAACAATCACAAAGATTTTGAAGTGTTGGAAGGACTTCAGCCTCCCAAAAATCTACAAACGTTGGACATTAGGCGCTTTCCAGGCGAATGTTTTCCAAACAAGATTTTTCTGGAGAATTTAGTAGAAATAAGTCTGTGTTCTTGTTCAAATTGTGAAAGGCTTCCAATGCTTGGGGAGCTACCCAACTTAGACAGCCTTTGTATCATTGAATTAACCAAGGTACGAAGTATAGGCAATGAATTCTATGGAGGAATTAGTGACTCCAACCAAAAGACATTGTTCTCCAAGTTGAAGAAATTTAGAGTAGAAAAGATGAGAAGCCTAGTGCAGTGGGAAGACTCGAAAGTTGCATCAAATGTTACAACTTTGTTTCCTCGTCTTGAAGTCTTGTATATTTCTGACTGCCACCAACTATTGAACCTTCCAGATGATGTTTTTGGCTCATGTGATGAGAATGGTGACTACCACCTTACAACTGTTACTATCAGTGACTGCATACAATTAGACAAACTTCCCAATGGACTAAAATACTGTCATTCAATCCAATATTTGAATGTAATGCGCTTGTCATGTTTGACCCTGAAGTTTGAAAACGTAGACATGGTTTCTTCTTTAAGAATCATGGTGCCGCAGAAGTTAGCCCACCGCACTAACTTGGAACTAAACATTTACGGAAGCATCCAGTATGATCGGTTCTATAATAGAGATTGTGAGGAGCTTGAATTGGTTGATGAGTTGGAGAGTGGGAGCCAAGATCCAAGTAGCATCCAAAGTTTGCCAGAATGGTTGGATAACCTTACATCTTTGCAAACATTGAACCTTTCATACCTCATCAAATTTAACAAATGAGAAATGAGAGTATTTGCTCCTCTTGTATGTTTTCAGTTTGTAATGTTTCAACAAAAGTGGTCTATTTTCAACACTATTTTCATCCTCTATTTAGTCATAATCTTCACACACACACATACATATATATATATATAATAACCCTCGTCATAGTTTTTTTTATTTGTATAAGGTTTATAAATAACATAAATTAACTGTAATATGAATAAGCATCTACGATTTTTTTTTTTATAATCCATGAGTCAGCTGCCCTGCGCATTGTCTCCTGGGTGAAGTAGACCTCAAGGAATATCTCAAGCCACCCAAACTATTCCTTGGGACAAGTTAGTATCTACATTTTAGTTTTACAAATATAACAAAAGAAATTTTAATAAGGGAAGCCCAAATAATAAAAGGTCAAATTTATCTCTGTACCGTTGATATACCATAATATAGTATACATAAATTATTTTAAACAAAAATCTTCATTTCTTTGTATAATATTTTTCTCTTTAAAAAATGTGCGTAAAATAAGTTTAATAATGAATATATTTTCATAAGAAAAAATTTTTAAATTTAAACTAAATCTTTCTTTAATATTTTTCCAAAAAAACTAATCCTATGATGAAATTGTGGATTCAAGAGGTTGATTTACTAATATTCTCTTCAAGGTATGAATTTATTTTGGGAAACTAATTTAAATTCAAATAATAAAATTTTTCTTAATGGCCTTAGCCACACATAATTATTGTTCATTATTTAGCATTTAGCTTAAGAATAATGATTAGTAAAACACGAGACATTTAAAAATAAAAATAAAATATTTTCTTTTGAATGTCATTTTTCTTGAAATTAAAATGAGAATAAATTATAGTTCATTGAACGGTTGTTGAGTGCTAATACCTTCTTCATACACAAAAGATCCTCAATTCCAAATCTGTTTTTGTACGGATCAACTTATCCATACATTTGAGTGGTCAATCACACCTTGTAAATAAACATTGGTGGTGATTCCATTTTTCTTCTCTCGGGAAGAAAGTCAGTCGATCCGCATCGCAAACCTGTATGAACACCTCTTATATAACCCTGATATATTTGTGTTGATATAATACTAATATAATAACTAATTTTTTTCATATGAAAACAAATGTGCAAATAAAAAAAAAGAAATTTAAAGTTATTGTAGATAAGGTTGATATAAACCATGCACGTCCAAAAAGAGAAGTTAAAATTCTAATAGACTTTATGAATTTAAACAACTGATATACCTTAGATTTAGTATATCAGTCACAAATATAACTAATATGAATTAGTATCAGTGTGATATATACCTCACTGATATACTTCATTAAACATATCGACACTTGACATCACTAATAGTAACTAGTCAATATTAATATAGAATAAATAGTAGTGATATAGCCACTAATATTACAATCAACAAATAGCGGTGATAAACTATAGTTTAAATAACTGATATACCACTAGAAATTAAACAACAGATATACCTTATATTTGATATACCAATTACACATATATTTAGTATATATCATAAATTAGAAGGTTGATATTAAAGATATAATACGTGCATCAAATACATATCAGAGATATTTCTTTCCTTTTTTTTGGACAAACCAACTACTCTTTCAGCAATTCTGTTTTATTGTTATTATTATTTTCACTTTATTTTATTTTATTTTATCTTCTCTTATTTTATTTCTTTCGTTTTTTTTAATTGGTTAAATTCAGTAAATGTCGATTTCTAATTGGTCTACGAAGGATATCGCCACATGTATTTTTCCTTTGAATTTGATTTTACCCTAACTTCTTTGTTTGATCTTTGATTTGTGTAATTCAAATTTTGATAGAATCATTGTTTGTAGCTATAAGGTGTGAACACTTCTAAATATTAAAATTTCAATAAACAAAATTAGGTTTTTTATCATCAAAACACTAAATTAATTAATTTGTAATTAATTTAATGTTTGTAGATGCTTTGGTCGGACCATGATCGGGGTCCTTGCTAAGCTTGTAGGTGCTTTGGTCGGACCGTGATGGGGGGCTTGAAGAAACTTCAAGCATACAAGTCTTCTAAATGTTTAGTCTCCAAAATCTTTTCTGTCTCCTCCTCCCTTTCCTTGTTTCCAAATTTAACCTGGAATTCAAAAAACATATGAAAAGAAAAACCATTCCCTTTAAAATAAAAAAGAAATGAAAAAATCAAAAGTAAAACCCTCCTCTATTTTTCTCTTTTCATTCTTTTTCTTTCTTTCTTTATTTCGAATTTAACTTGGATTTGAAAGATAGGTGAAAATAAAAACCACCTCCTTAAACCCACCTTCAAAATTAAAATCCTCGTCCATCAAAACTTACATTCAAAATAAAAATGAAGATAAAAATCAAAACCCACCTCCATCAAAATCAAAACTCACCTTTTCAAAATCAAAACCAGATATGAAAGAAAGGGGAGGGAGACATCGTGAATCCATTTTGTCGATGCCACAGATCTGTTTCAATGCTGTCGTCGTCGATCTCTTTCACTGTCGCGGTGGTCATGAGGGATCATCGTCGTTTTAAGACCGAGTGAGGGAGAGAGATCCAATCCGAGTGGGACGTGGATCTGTTTTAGTTTTGCTATAAAAGAATAGGGAAAGGGATGGCGTTTTTGTAGCCTTTGTGATAAAAGAAGGCAAGGTAGGGTAAGTCTTTTCTTAAAATTTCGCGTTGGTTTGAATCCTTACACCCGTAGTGCCAACTATCCCTGCAAAGTGCCAAGACGACCCAATTTGACGATCCTCTCTTTCTAGAGGAGTTATGTGGACGATGAGCCGTTTGCATAATTTGATTTCATATTGTTAAAAGTTTGGAGGAGAATACTATTATTGCGTGAAATTGAAAGTAGAATACTTTGTGGTAAAAATACAAACTTTGTGGGAAAAATATAGCAGACACTTATGTTTTCTCAAATTGCAGGTAAGTAGTGTCTAACGCTATTTTCGGGGCTTTTTGATGAAAAACACTTTTTGGCATAAAGGCAGTAAGGACATCTCCAAAGTCAGCTTCCCTGTGTTAGTGTTAGAATTCATGCAATTGAACAAAATCCCATTACTTAAGCTCCAGTCCCGTCCTATTTTGGTGGCAAGTTGTAACCATCTCCATGCTTATAAATTGAAGGTCTCCCTTAGCACAATTCATCCAGTCTTTATTCCATTTTAGTCCTAATTTTTAGTTAGAACCAGCTTGTTCTTACTTTGTTACAATTTAATGTTTCGTTGAACCTAGTTTTTGTTGGATGGGTATGACAACCTTAGAGGGGGGTGAATAAGGTTTAATTAACAAAATATAAACTTTTTAATAAATGGGCCCAATTTAAACAAAAATAATACACTTTTTGAGATATGCAATTTTAACAAAGTAAGATAAAATGAATTCTAAGGCAAACAAGAGAAATTTAAAGCAAACAATTAAATTCTAAGATTAATTGCAAAAATAAATAAGAGAGAGAGTTAGAGAAATTTGACACCGGGAATTTTTATAGTGGTTCGACACAACTGTCCTACTCCACTTCCCAAGCACCTCTTGGGTTGTAAATTGAAATTCTGACTCTTTCCACGGTAGGAGTCAAATCGGTACACTGCTCTTCACAAGAGCAAAAACGATCCTCTCCACGGTGAGGATCACACCGTTACAATGAGGATCACACCGTTACAATGAGTTGAAGATTTTGAAACACACACTTACAAACTCTCAAATAGAGTAAATATACAAATTTGAGCTCACAAAAATTTCAATCCTCACAACAGTAAAATTTCTCTCACAAATAAGATGGAAAGAAAAATTGAGAACTTGGAGAGATTAGCAAAATGAAAATTTTGAAGTTATGGAGGATTGAGAATAAAAGAATTGTTGTATAATTTTGAATGAGAAGTTTAGTTTAAATAGAGGGAAGAAAATGGTAAAAAAATCAAGTTTAATTTTAAACCATTAGATCTTAATCATTAAGAATGAAGGGTTGAGATAACTTTGAAAAAAAATTAAGAATAATATATATATATATATATATAATAATGGTAAAATAAAATAAAAAATATATATATAAAAAAGTGATGTGACAAGTTATTTTAATTATATATAATAATAATAATATTAATAATATATATATATATATGTGTGTGTGTGTGAGAAAACGGTAACTTTTCAAAAAAAAAATTTTTTTATTTTTTTTTAAACTGACAGCATTTAATGTGAAGTGACTTTTTTTTTAACAAAGTTACCTGGTAACTTTTGACTTTTTCTTTTTGTTTTTTTAATTTTTTTTAATCTTTTTCTTTTCTTTTTCAATATATATATATATATATATATAGTTTGTCACTTGTCAGCTTACGAACTGTCCACGTCATCTTCTCAGGTATTTTTCCTTTCAATTTGTTTCGATCGTAACTTCTCCGTTTGAGCTCCCATTTGGATAATCTAACAGTAGTTGGAATCGTTGTAACGAGTTCTACACTGTGGACACTTTAAAATACAAAAAATGTCAATAAATAAAATTAAGTTTGTTATCATCAAAACATTAATTAATTAATTAATTAAAATTAATTAATTTGAGATTAAGGCCAAAAAGCCAACAGCTTTATCACAATTCATTTGTTAAGTTTCATTTAGTTCTTTTCAATTCTTTTGTGTTTCATTTATTTTCATCCTTAAACAGTTTATAGCGAGTTATAACTTCGTTCTGTTGGGATAATGGAGCCAAAATAGATTACTCGTGTCCTACGAGGAAAAATGATTTTTCAACACCACTACCAATTCCTACAAGGAGTAGGATATTATTGTCTTATAAGGATTACAATATTCTTTTCATATAAGGATTGATATGTTTGACCTCTTATAAATAGAACCCTTTTGTTAAAGGTTTCATTTGTACAAAATCCAAATAAGAGAGACTTGAGTGGTTGTGGACAGTGTGTGAAAAAAGGAGTTTGTATCCCGTGGGTTTTAGTGAGGGTATTTTTAATTGTGTAATCCTAGGTAATCATTGTTAGGGTACTTAAAAGCAAGATAGTAATATCTTGAGTGAGATCTCCATTGTAATATTCTCAACTATGGTTGAAGCTGCTTTTTCGCAGAAGACTGGACGTAGTTCCAAGATAGGGGCGAACCAGTATAATCCCTGTGGTGTTAAACTTTTCTATCCCTATATCTTATTCCTTTGTTATTGTTACTTATTTATCTACTTTTAGCTTGTGGAATGGGAAAATCAAATAGTTTCTGTTTACAGGATGATTGATTGATCTATATTTTTTTTTCCAACAATTGGAATCAGAGAGTTTGGTTCAGAGATCATGGGATCAGCATAGAAGTCAGGTTTTGAAGGAATCATGAAGTTCGATGGGGGCAATTTCGAATATTGGAATATGCAAATTAAGGATTACTTGACCTGCAAGAAGTTGAATAAAGCTTTAAAGGAACGACCAGCAGGGATGAAAGATAAAGATTGGGTAGAGACGAATGAACAGGCAGTTACCTTTATCAGATTGTGTTTATCGATGAATGTGGCTAGTCTCGTAGCAAACGAAACGACAGCAATAGATCTGATGAAAGCACTGGAGAATAGGTACGAGAAACCCTCAGCTAATAATAAGGTCTATCTCATTAGAAGGTTCTTTAACATTCAAATGGAAGAGAATACTTCTGTCAATTCCCACATAAATGAGGTCATAAAATTAATCAACCAAGTGGCATCAGTTAAGATTACTTTTAATGACGAAGTGAATGTTATTCAGTTGCTAACATCTTTACTTGAAAGTTGGGAAACGATGAAGACAGCAGTGTCCAATTCGTTAGGAGACAAATCTTTGAAATTTTCAGAAATTTGTGATGCGGCAATTGCTGAAGAAATTCGCAGAAAGGGGAGTGGAAAAGAATCTACTTCTGTACAAGGCTTAGCATTGTCTGTCGAAAAAGGTAAAGAGAAGGTTGCGTCTGATGACAGATAGCAGAAGCATAGTAGGAGGGATTGGAACAGAGATGTTGAATGTTTTCATTGCCACAAAAAATGCCACATCAAGAAAAACTGTAGAATATTAAAAGAGGATCTGAAGAGGTATATGGCAGAGTCAAATGCAGTTGTAGACGATGCCTTCGTCTGTGTTGAAAGCAACACAGAAATAGGAAACCAGCCATCGGAGTGGGTAATAGACAGTGCAGCTTCAGTACACATATCTTCAAGTAGAAGATTATTCACATCTTTCAGAAGAGGCAATCGCGGCCACGTGAGGATGGAGAATGGAAGACTTTCCAAGACTAAAGGGATTGGAAATATACGATTGAAGACCGATAGTGGGACTGAGTTATTACTGCAAGATGTCAGGTATGTACCCAGTATCAGAATGAACCTTATCTCTACAGGTAAGTTGGACGATGATAGTTATCAGAGTGAGTTTGATGGGAACCAGTGGAAGCTCACCAAATCCAAGTTGGTGGCAGTTGGCCATAAAGGATCTACAGTTTACATGTCGCAATTGAGTGTTGCCAGATAATCATTGAAACAGTGGATGCAAGTTGCATATGGTGTCTAAAGAGGTAGGACTGAACCAGCAACAAAAACAACCATAATAGATCAGGAAGATCTTCCATCAATTCAGGAACAACAATTGGGAAGTTAAAGAACGGGAACAAGTTCTTTAGGTTGTCTGGGATTATCTCCAGTTGTCAGACGAATGGGTGAATTGATGAAGTCGCGCCAGCGAACAGTTGCATCAGAGAAAATGAACTCAGTAGGTGTTGAGGTAAAGAATGAAGTTTCAATTCTTGCAGCAGGCATGAATACAGATGTCAAGTCATCAGTGGGAAGTTCTTTATTCAAGAATCAGTGTTTGAGAACGAAGAAGGAAGCTTCATATATCGCCACTTAGTTTGAGTGGGAGCACGTGGCTGTGTCTTTTACGTTTGGGAGACAAGACCACGTAGATTGTCCGACAAGACAGATGAGACCAGTGATTTCTGATATTTTGTTTTACAAGTTTTTAAACTTGCAGGGGAAGCCTTGAAGATTTTTTTTTTTTTTCAAGAAGATTAGAAGTTGTTGCTGTAGAAGCCTTTGAGTTTTCCAAGATTATTAGAGACTATTGTTGCAGTGGGAGGCAAGATCGAAGTTTTGTCTCCAAGTGAGAGATTGTTGGGATAATGGAGCCAAAACAGATGACCCATGTCCTATGAGGAAAAAGGATTTTTCAACACTACTACCAATTCCTACAATGAGTAGGATATTATTGTCTTATAAGGATTACAATATTGTTTTCCTATAAGGATTGAGATGTTTGACCTCTTATAATTAGAACCTTTTTGTTAAGGTTTCATTTGTACAAAATTCAAATAAGAGAGACTTGAGTGGTTATGGGCAATGTGTGAAAAAAGGAGTTTGTATCCCGTGGGTTTTAGTGATGGTATTTTCAATTGTGTAATCCTAGGTAGCCATTGTTAGGGTACTTAGAAGCAAGATAGTAATATCTTGACTAAGATCTCCATTGTAATATTTTCAACTATAGTTGAACCTGCTTTTTTGCAAAAGACTAGACGTAGTCCCAAGATAGGGGCAAACCATCATAATCCCTGTGGTGTTAAGCTTTTCTATCCCTATCTCTTATTCTATTGTTATTGTTACTTATTTATGTGCTTTTAGCCTATGGAATGGGAAAATCAAATAGTTCCTGTTTTAAGAACTTACAAGAAGATCGATTGATCTATATTTTTTTTCCAACACCTTCAAAGGTCGAAAGGGAATCGAAGAAGGTTAAGTTGGGGCTCATTATACTTTTGTTAAGCTTTAATTTCAATCAATGACAAGAAATTTATATGTTTTCATGAGTATTTTTCCACACTTTCATCATGCACTAAATTAGGTTTCAACTTCTCTATGAAATGCTGTAGGAAAATTTATTTATATTTAACACAGAAGAAAAAGCTCAAGCACTGTCGTCTGGTGCATTGCTGGTTAACTCTTCAACATACTTATTTTTAAATTGGGTTTCAACTTCTCTATGAAATGCCTTAGGAAAATCTATTTATATTGAACACAGAAGAAAAAGCTCAAGTAGTGTCGTCTGGCGAATTACTGGTTAACTCTTCAACATACTTATTTTTAAAGTAATTTCTTAATTAGTTGGTCGCTAAAGATTTTTGCTAAACTAAAGCCTAATGCTGAAAGGGTTAGGTTAAGTATTTAATAGGGAGTTAATATACGATGTAGGTTAGACATAAGCAGATACATAGAATATGATTCTAGACATAAGTCTTCTCACCCATAAAAGTAGATGAGTTGATAGTAATTTCTAAGTTGTAATCACGCATAGACATATGACAAGTGGTTACCCTAGATTTTGAAATAACCAAAAGCGGTTCGTGATAGGAGTAGAAATACAGTTTCCAGTAAGAGTCAAAGTAGCGCCTGGGAGCAGAGGGGTTGTCCCTTATTAGAAGTTTGACATTTTTAAAACCAAACCACAACTTTCACAACTATTGTTACCAATAAACTCAATTGCAGTTTGAAACATTTCACAACATTACTTTTTAATTAAAAAATCCCTAAGAATACGAACTTTGAATATTTTTTTCCCTATATTACTTGTGGTCGTGTGTGCTTGCACGCTGTCTCTTCTCCATCAAAGTAGAGAATTTCCAACACCAAGGTTCATCCCAAGACCACATAGGTGACAGTCAGACAGACGATGATTTTCGGAACTCCTCAATTTACCAAGACACACCAAACTTGCACATGGTCAATCATTGACGTAATGACGAGTATCATTAAGCGGTTAATGGACTCCTTGAAGATTGGAATTGGAGAACGATATGGGGCAGGTGGCCTTGGTGACTATCGTGCATACCCCATGTCAAGCTTCCCTTGCAAGCTCTTTTTCATATTAGGCCCCACTCTGGACCTTCGAAAATTATATTGATTATGGGAGGTCGGTCTTCACACCTTGGGGGAGTTATGGAACGTTTGCAATCTTCTTTAGGCTTCTTGATGGAAATCAAGATGCCTTGTCCCACAAATTTCTTAGCAAAGTTTAAGGACCAAACTCAACTTTTAAACATTTAGCTAAATATGAATTGACCAGCTCAGCAGCAAAAAATAAATAATAAATAAAAAAATAAAATTGTTCCCCTAACTACTATAATTGTAGAAAATCTCCTCTAAAATTCAAATCCAGTGTAAGTGTGTTCTTGCAGTTTTTCTAGACAAATATGTGTAAGGTTCAATCCATAATTCCATTGAAAGTACATGTAAATATATAATTACAAAGGACGAAAATACTACTTAAGTCTAGTCCAAATTATCACGAGCTTAATGGAATCCATTCATTTCCTTGAATGAAGTTCTCAACCGAGTAAGTAGAAACATACTCCGCTGGGATCTGGCTACTCCACCCGACTCTCTCGGACAAATTCGAACCGATCCCGAAATTCTCAAACTCCCCATAAAACAGAGTGTTCAAAGCAAACTCCCCGCTCCACGGTGACCACCCAAAAGGGGAAACAACAGCTTCGAGATCACAATGTATGAAAACCGTCCTCGAATACTCCTTCCAGGGCCGCCCCAAGAAGGTCCTATGCACCCGAGGATCGGCATAGTACAAGGACATGAACTCCTCGGTGCCGTTAACAAGGCAATTGAGGAAGACGAAGCCGGTGGACTGGGCGGGGTCGGTCCTACCGTGGGCAGTGACGGGGTAGTCGCCACCGGTGGGCCGAGGGCGGAGTAGGATGTGGCAGTCCTGGAAGATGGAGGCCGAGTTTCCAAAGATGAAGTCCACATTGCCTAGGATTCGGCAGGAGTTGTAGAATTGGCGTAGGGAATGGGCGTAGAGAGTGTCTTGGTTGCCTATAAACTCACAGTTTTGGATGACTGAGAGATCACTGTCTGATCTAAAGGCCACAGCTTGGTGAGCATCAGGCCCTGCTGTGTTCTCAATGGTCAGCCCACTGGCCATGAATCCGTCACCAGCAACTCCTGCAATAATTTCCTATCAAATTTTTAAGTCTGTTTCATACGAAAAGTATTGTTTATAAACCTAATTTTCAAAAAAAAAATTAAAAATTAAAAAGAAACATTTGAAAATTAAAAAAAAAAGAAATATAATAATTGTGGCCTACTTCTGGTTGGATAACATTTTTGTTTTTAAAAATTAAGTTTGTAAACATTAATGTATTACTTTTTTTTCTGTAATTTTTAAAATAATAGATTTCAAAAAAGTTTTTACGTTTAATCAAATGTATTATTTAAAAAACGTGACCAAATAAATTGTGAAGAAACAAGCATGATTTTAAAAATAAAAATAATGAACAAATAGGGCGTTAATTATGTACTATTTTGTTCATATTTTTTAAATAAACATTTTTAAAATTAAATTTATATTTTGAACCAAAAAAAATAGTTGGTATTTCTCGACCTAACCACCCTGACTTTAATTCATTTGGTGCAAGTCATTTATAGGTTATTTGGAATAACTTTTCAATTTTTTTTAAAAAGTCAACCTAAACAATTATTAATTTAGAAAATATTTAGTATAGTATTTTAAGTGATTTTAAATAATTAAAAGCATTTCTTTTAAATCTACTATTTCGGTATAAAAGCTATTAAAAAAAAGTTGGATTACTTTAAATGTGTTTTTTAAGAAACAGGGTGATTAGCCAAAAAATTACTTCAAAGTAATCGATAACTACTGTAGTTTAAGAACTTGAAAATGATTTAAAAAATAAAAATAAAAAAAAGTGCTGAAATAACTCACCATTATTTTTTCTTTTAGTCTTTTAGAAACTGTAAATTATTACTACTGCTCATAAAATTTAAAGTAACGCAACAATTTAAACTCCATTTGAAACCTATTTTCTTTTTAACTTTTTATTTTGAGAGAGAAATAATAGTTAGTATATCAAAACAAATTTTTTCTCGAGAAAATTTTAAACAAGAAAAAATTTTACAATAAAAAAGAATTTTGTCAGGGATAATGTATAAAAACAAAAGTTGAGCAGGGAAAAAAAATCAAAAGCAGAAATCTATTTTTAAAAAATAAATTTTCATTTTTTTATTTTTAAAACTGTATAGAATTTTAAAATAAAAGGTTGAAAACATAAAATAAAAAATTGAATTTGTTACCAAACAAACCTATTTTTTAAAAACGAAATAGTTATTAAACAATCCAAAAAAATAAAAATAAAAACTAGTTTTTGTTTTTGAATTTTGGCTAATAGTTGAAATATATTTTTAAGAATAAAAAACTAAATATAAAATTATTATCAAACTTAATGTTTAAGTATACTATTTTGAAGTAAATTTAAAATTATAGAGAGAAAAAAAGATAGACATATATTAAGATAAGTACTCCAGTTTTTACTCCCTATTCAATTTAATTCATCTACTCATTAATAAAAAAAAATCAAGAAAGTCCAAAAACTTACCCACTCAATAAAAATCAATCTACTTTTTATATATATAAACAAAATTAAGTTTCATTCCTGCAAAATCAATCAAATTGTAATGCTTTTAAAAATTTAAAGTAAAGATTACAATATTTGTTTGGCTGAAATTGAAAATTGAAGATAAAAGTTGATACCTTTGTATCTCGATTTAAGGTTAAAATTAATTTTTTCACTAAAAAAAACCCTTTATCCTGACACAAACCGACAACCTTGTGTATTATACACTCCACGATCATAAAAACCATAAATTTTGCTTTTCTCAAACTCTACTAAACGATCATAACAATCATAAATATTTTCTACCAAAAAAGAAAAAAAAACGATCGTAAATTTTTGCTTTTAACAATGACAAACTCACCGACGGTAGCCGAATTGTAGGTTGAGATCCCAGGCTGGCCCACATTGAGTGACCCTGAAATGACGGTTTTGCCCATCCCATCTCCAAAAAATACCACGTTCTTCTTTTTCAATGGCACTCTCACGATCTCCTCGTACACCCCTTCCTTTATGTGGATCACAAACCTACGCGCCGCCGCGTTC